CTGTCTACCAACACCCCCAGGTCCTTTTCGGCCAGGCAGTTGACTTGATGTGCTCATGGAGGTGGCAGCTTATTAGACTTCTCTAGAGTATTTTGCATCATGTCATGCAAAAAATCAACTAAAATTCAAGATTTTGCACAACTGCTCTTTTGAGGAGAATGTAGCACACAGATGTGTTTGAGAGTCCATATTTGTCAGAATAAACAAACACACACTGGAGTGAGTGATAAAAAGTTATCTGGCCAGGTGGGCTTTTTGAACATGTTGATTACTGCTTGCTTTTACAGCATAAAGATTTTTGCTAAGGAGTGACTTCATATAACATCTTTAAAATACTATGGATGACAGTGGAGATGTATTGATATGACAATACTAAATAATGAGCAATAATGGACATGGAATCACTTTTGTTTATTAGTTGCTAAGAATTATTTGAATTTACGTGGATATAATGTTGCTTCCTGTTAAGTGCAGTGTAGATGAAGAAACCAGGCTAAATATGTGCATGTTATATCTTGTTGTGGGCAGTACACAGACCATTAAAAAGAGGAGGACTTGGGGGTACTGGTGGATGAAAAGCTGGACATGAGCTGGCAATGTGCGCTTGCAGCCCGGAAAGCCAACCGTATCCTGGGCTGCACCAAAAGCAGCGTGGCCAGCAGGTCGAGGGAGGTGATTCTGCCCCTCTGCTCTGCTCTGGTGAGACCTCACCTGGAGTACTGCGTCCAGCTCTGGGGCCCTCAGCGCAAGAAGGACATGGACCTGCTGGAGCAGGTCCAGAGGAGGGCCACAAAAATGATCGGAGGGATGGAACACCATTCCTGTGAAGAAAGTCTGAGAGAGTTGGGGTTGTTCAGCCTGGAGAAGAGAAGGTTCCAGAGACACCTTATTGCAGCCTTTCAGTACTTAAAGGGGCTTATAAGAAAGACGGGGACAGACTTTTTAGCAGGGCCTGTAGTGATGGGACAAAGGGTGTAATGGTTTTAAACTAAGAGGGTAGATTTAGACTAGACATAAGGAAGAAATTTTTTACAGTGAGGGTGGTGAAGCACTGGAACAGGTTGCCCAGAGAGGTGGTAGAGGCCCCATCCCTAGAAACGTTCAAGGTCAGGTTGGACAGGGCTCTGAGCAACCTGATCTAGTTGAAGGTGTTCCTGCTCATTGCAGGGGGATTGGACTAGATGACCTCTAAAGGTCCCTTCTAACTCAAACTATTCTATGATTCTATGATTAAAGCTGCTGGTACATTGTGGAAAATCTTTGAATGTTTTTGTTAGAACATTTGTGACTGGAACTAATTGAGTGTCCTGGGCATTGCAAGTAAAAATAGGTGTTCTTTGATGGGAAATGAAGTTACTATTTTAACGAGAAAGAAGAATGTGGTTATGCCATTTATGGTTAGGGGTTTGAGTTCAGACACATTTGTCTCAGCTCGTTTTTCAGGAATAATACAAGTGAAATTTCTGTAAATGGTTTTGGTAATGCAGAGCTTTTTATCTTTTATTTTTGCAGCTTCAGAAGTTGCTCACTATGGATCCAATAAAGAGAATTACCTCAGAACAGGCTATGCAGGATCCCTATTTCTTAGAAGATCCTCTTCCCACATCCGAGTAAGTGGTCAGTCTGTTAACCTATCAGTACACCCAGAGATGTTTTAGAAATGCGTGCTTTCTCTCTGCTATAAATGTGTTTGTGAATATTGAGCTAAATACATACCGTCTAAAAACCAAAGAAAGCTATAACCACTAAAATGCCATTTGTGGTTTTTAAAATTAAGTAGCATTCTTATTAATCTCTTGCTTTATGGAACTTTGATCCTATTAGTTGCAGCACTAATCTTGTTATTCACTGACAGGTTGATTATGCATGCTACAGATCTTTGTAGACAACTGCTAAGTGCCCGCAGGTCCACTTCTCTGCTCCAGAATGCCAGATGACACTCTCTAATTAGTTTACATTTTTCTGTCTTAGCCTTTGTTGTAAATTCAGTGGGTGGGGGAAGTCAACTCTGTGTCTCTGTGCTGTCATCCTTAACAACTTAAATCCATTTTCTGTAGGCACTCCTCTTTTTTTGTTTGCACAGGGAGATTTACAAAGGGAAGAAAATTTAGGGACAATGAACGATTTCATTAAAAATTAAGCCCCCCTCCTAAAAGACTAGCCAGAGAGCATGACTGTGCACCTTTTTAGGAAAGCTATTAGAGAATCATACACAGGATCTACTACCATTATCTAGGGAAGAATTTATAAAATACGGTGTGTATATTTATAAGCAATTAATTAAAAATTATTTCATAAACCTACTGGATTATTTATAACAGCTCCTGGCCTGTCTCTGTGATTTAATGTTGTCATGCGAATGATTTGCTTTCGCAGAAACTGCTTTTAGGACAGTGTTTGGCTTTTTTCTTAACTTTAAGTTGGCATTTTAATGTGAATACACAATGAGTAATACTAACAGGTGTACAGAGACTTTATTATAACATTCTACTGATGAAGGGCAGGTAAATATTAGCTTGCACTAGCAGTAGCAAATTCACATGGACCATGAGATATGAATTGACAGCCGAAATTTCTAGTTATTTTTAAACTTTGTTCCAGATGGGTTTATTAAGTCAGTGGAATTTCCAGGAGTATTTTTAGTTAGTACTGAGATTGTGAATTACACAATAGCTGGATTAAGATAGCTCTTTGTGCCCTTGCAGATGTCTAACAGGTGGTGTACCTTTCCAGCCACCAGTTTGGTCACTGGTTACCAGAAACCATGAAAACTATTAGGAGTTTAAATAAGTGTATAAGATGCAACTGAAGATTAAAAATAAATGTGAATAGGTTTACTAAGTTCAGAAAAGGCAGGGAAAACTTCTCCATTAGTTAAGGTATTAGGCTGTGGCTCAGGCAACTTGAAACTAGCATGGGTGAAGTATGAATCTTACAGGTCTAACCCTTCTGTTCTAATACAGTGATAAATAGACTTTTTTGGGGGGCAGTGTTTTTGCAGGTTGTCAAATCCCTTACCCAAAACGAGAATTTTTAACAGAAGAAGAACCAGATGATAAAGGAGACAAAGTAAGTACTGGAAGAACAGTATCATCATGCTTCACTAGCTTTCACACTATTTCCTGTTTTCACGTTATTTCATGTACTGCTTTTGAGTTGAAATTTTTCTTTGTGTTTAAACAATTGAGAAGAACCAGCAGCAGCAGCAGGGCAATAACCATACTAATGGAACTGGTCATCCAGGGAACCAAGACAACAGTCACACACAGGGACCCCCACTGAAAAAAGTGAGAGTTGTTCCTCCTACCACTACCTCAGGTGGACTTATTATGACCTCAGACTATCAGGTATTTGTTTTATTCATATATGTATTTGTAAACATATCGTGTTTACAGCAGTGTTTCTTTAAGCTAAAAAAGTAATTTTGTAAATGTCACTGTATTAACTGGTATTTTTTGGCATCTTCCAGATGTTTTTTCAGATGCATTTAGTTGATGGTTTGCCTGTAAATTGATATGCTGATGCTTTTTAGGTTAGCAGTATGGAAATTAGGATCGGAGATTATTATAGTTAGTAATTTATTACCTTTGTATTAGGGAATGCTGATTGTGGACCAGGAGCCTGTTGTGCTGCGCTCTGTATCACCTAAAAATACCGTTCCTTATTGGAACAAGCCTGTAATGGTAGGAAGCAAAGAATATTGCAGTAAACAAGCTGTGAAATAAGAATCTGAACAAGAGTTTCAGTTGGGCAGATGGATGGGAAAGCAGTGTTTTGGATGACAAACAGAAAGACTTGACATGATGCTGTCATAGCGTCTGTTTTGAAGACCAAGGGAGATTTCAGGTTGAGTAAGCCCAGTATTACAGATCTGAAGAGACAGGTGAGGTGGTGGCAATTAACGAGTGAGGAAGATGAGGAGGAGTGTAGGAAAAAGTTTGCGGAAAACTTGAAAACTGTGTTCTAGCCTTCCTGCATTGAGGTCAGATGTTAGGAAATTGGAAGAGTCTGGAGCAGAAGAATAGCTGAGAGTCATCCCAGGGAACGATACCTCAATTTGTGGGTTTAGATGAGGTTACTCCCGGACACTGGGGAGGAGAGAGAAGAGAGCATTAACCTTTAGTTAATGCAAGCTAAGAAATTACAAAAGAGGAGCAAGGAAGACTTCAATTGGTATGCGTAGGAGCAGTTGGAGAGGTGGCAGATTTTGGAAGCCTAGGGAGTAAAAGATTTCAAGAGGAGGCATGCTGGTGGAAATGTTAGCCTGCAGGAACCATTGCATGCTGGTGGTTCACATGGAATGCATAGTGCAGAAGGCCAATTGGAAGAGAGTCTTGGATGAAATCAAAAGATGGGGAAGTCAGAAATTACTGGCAGTGTTTTCAGTTAATTTAAAGATTAATGTCTAAATCTGAGGCCCTAATATTGGAAACCCACTTAGCTATGCTTACATTCTGTAGCAAAACTTAGGGAGAGTTTAAGAACGGGGTCAGTAAAACTGCTGCTGTCAACTTGCTTTTCACAGTTTGATCCTGTTTCTCCATAAACACCAACGGGCTTTGAAATCTTGCATTTCAGAGTTTGTTCCTGAGGGTAACAGATATCCTCAAAGGCTGCCTGGGGGCATTGCCCTCATCCTTACATAAATCTGTACGGTTCCAGCACTGGCCAAAACTTGAAAGTACTAAAAAATGTAGAATAAGGTCATTTTCAGGAGCTTTATTGTGAGACCCTTCATACAGTCCCCTTTGCTCAGCTTATCCCAGGACATCAATAGCATGTCAATTTTCAAGTCATTCTCCTTGAAGGATGTAAATTTTTAGAGCTGTTTGAAAGGTTTGAAACAGTGGTCAGCCTTAACTACAGTGAGGTGCCTCTAAGTACAAACATCGTCTTTCTTTTAGTTGGATTATGCATCACAGAGCACTCTCTTACAGGAGCCTCATCCCTTTCAATTTGGCAAGATGCAGCCGATTGCTGTTTTGGCCTTTTAGCTGGCTCTTTGCACCACTTCTGTTCTGTGTGTGTATTTTTAAGGCGGCAAATGCAGCTGTAACTCTCCTAATCTTTCCCTCATGTTGAGTCACATATCTAAGGAGATAGAGGGAGAGGTGGCATGTACTGTGTCAGGGAGCCCCATTTACATGCCCTATTTCCATGCCCTTCACCTCATTTTGCTGCTGCAGCTTGGCATTTTGAACAAACTTCAACTTCCACTTCTGTGAGCAAGAGCTGAGGTTTGCTAGTTGAGAAGTCAGAAGACACAAATTGCCTCAGCAGGAGTTGATGTTGGTTTTTTTTTCAGCTCATGCTCATCAAAACTTTTGTACTCTCAAATTTCCATCCCAGGGTTATAGTTGGGGGCAGCCCTTGTCAACAAGCATAATTTCAGAATACTTTTGCCTTGAGGTAGTGATAACTGCTACTTCGCTGTCTCAGGAGCTCTTACTGGTAACTTGACTGCTCCCGACTAATCTTTTTGCTGTCTCTCTAGGAGGCAAAACACCTGGTTTTCAAAAAAAATACATCTTCCCCCCAGTCTTGCAAGAAGGCAGTGGGTATATTTGGTCTGATTATGCTATCTGGGAGACATGGTAATCAAAGGTAGGAGACCTGAACTTGCTGGCAGTAGAACAAAAGCAGTTAAAAGCTGCCTATTGGTGGTTTCAGGTCTCCCTGAAAAAAATTCCTCACATTTTTTTGCTTCTGATCATGCAACTTGAGGAAACGGCAAACAAATATTACAGTACAGCCCTCTGTTTTAATCAAACACCTGTTCCTTTGTTCTTCATTTAATTTGCTCAAATTCCCCATATAAAGCTTGTGAAGAAGGATTGCCATCTCCTGGGCAAGGCACACTAAGACAGTTTCTCCATCCACTCAGAAGTCAAATTACTCTCTGCAGAGCAAGTTGACCTTGTATCCTTTTCTGCCATGCATAAAAATAGTGGACACATGGCACACAGACTTCCTTACCTTCTTGTTTAAATCTGCAATGTGACACTTCCAAAGGCAATGTGACTACACAGGCTGGAGCAATTCCACTACTCTGAGCTTTTGCTTGTGATAACCCTCTGGGTGCTTAATGGTATTTGGAAAGGACTGGATATTTACATTTGTTCTTAAACAGAAGCCGTTTGTTGTGCTGGGTGTCATGAAAGAATCTGATTTTTAATTGCCTCCATCTTATTTTAAGATCTATTTGAGAAGTCAGGATGCAGAAAGTATTTACAACAGACATGAATGGTCAGTTTTTAAATGGTTAAACTTGTGATAGTTTCGTACATACAGGAGCTGTGTTTGGGCAAAAAGAGTATTCAGGGATTTTATCTCTCTGAAGTACATCCTATATTTGTTACGTGGAGAAGGGTGACCCAGAGCTGTGACACTTCTGTTGGCGAGTGACTTAGTCCATCTCTCAAGAGTGAAGGCAAATGTCGCAAAAGTTCAGTCGCTGTGTTAACGGTGCAGTTCAGCAGTGCTGGTTTGTTCCTGCTGGCAGTAAGTGCTGGTCCAGCCATTTCTTCCCCTTTACACTATACACCCCTAGAGAATTAGCTCAGTCCTGTGAGCGTATGTTAACAAGTAGAGTTTGCCTTTTCATTTCTGCCATCATCTCAGCGTCCAGATTATAGCTTCCGTTCTAAATGCCAAGTGGCAGGAAAAAGTGGAGTTGTTAGTTATTATTTTATGTTGCGACTTTAAAATAGCTTTACAGATTTTATATATTTTACTTCTTTAGGATGTTGGTTCGCCATAGTTTTGTGTATTCAGGTCTCAGTAGTAATACCCTAGTCCTGGAATACTCACCTTGGAGAAGTTTCCAGACCTTTTTTTCTAAATATCCTAATACATCTTGGGATATCAAGAGTTCAGAAGTTGCACGGCAGTTTCTAAACACTGCAAAATTTGTGTGTGTGTGTAAACCTTAACATGCATGTAAAACAGCACAGTAATGTACTGAAATTGTGTTAATTTAATGAAATGTTAAATGCTACTAAGTGGTCATGTGCTTAGATTGAAAATCTCACATGTAGTCCTTTTTTCCTTTACAATGCATGGTGTGTAAATAACTTCTAGGTTAAAATTGAAGTAGGCAGTTGCTGGTTTGCTCAGAGCTTCTTGCAACAATGAATGCTCCAGTCAATAACTAATTGTAGAAATGCTGGTTGAAAGGGGCCTCTGGAGACCATCTAGCCCAATCTTCCACTTGAAGCAGGACTGTTGCTAATGCTAAATCAGGTCAGCCATGGCTTTGTTTAGCTGAGTCTTAAAAACCTCCAGAGATGGAGATGTCACAGCCTCTCTGGGAGAATTCTCCTAGTGCTATACTGGTCCCTTAGTGATTCCCCACTCCACCCCACCCCATGTCCAACCTGAACCTCCCAAGTCACAATGTGTGGCCATTTCCCCCTGAAACATCTGCTTCCACTGAGAAGCACGTGGCTGTTGCCTTTAGCTCTCCTTCAACTATTTGTAAGGCTGCTGCTAGATGACACCTTAGCCTAAATAATCACAGTGCCCTCAGCCTTTACTCCTAGGTCACACAATAGGGTGGCAAGCGTATCCTTTGTACAGGAAAATCTCCAGAGCAATGCAGAGTGGCTCATCAGGAGTAAGATGCACCGTTTGGACCTCCACCCCAACATACCTTCTCGGTCGGGGAAGGGAGCAAGTGAAGACCACTGCCGTGAGCGGTGGTAGCCTTGTGTAACGCGTGGGTGTACCGTAGCCATCTGGAGGGTTGCCTGGAGGTTTGACTATGATGGGTGTAGATTCACAGGAGGTAATTAGGATGGATAACTGAAGGGTGGTAACTTGTCACTTTCTAATCTGGTATTCCTGATGTTCATACCTGCACCTGCTGTAATCAGAGTAAGTGAAAAGAAGCCTGGCAGTGCAGCTGCTTTGAGGCTGTGTGTTCAGTACCGCTTGAAGAAATAAATCGGTAGGTGGAACTGTCTTGCAGTGTACCTGTTACAAAGGATTGCATTCCCTCTGCTTTTACCCCTCTGCAGCGTTCCAACCCCCATGCTGCCTACCCCAACCCCGGACCAAGCACATCGCAGCCACAGAGCAGCATGGGATATTCAGCTACCTCCCAGCAGCCGCCACAGTACTCGCATCAGACGCATCGGTACTGAGCTGCATCCCAATAACGTCAGTGCACTGTTGCTAATGCTGCAGGACCGGCCGCACAGCTGCCTGCCTGGAGCCCGGCTTGGGCCACGAGAATGTACTGTACAACCACACCTCCAACCCGTCTGATCGCCACGATCCACCCCCTTCCACAGAGCGGAGTAGTGGCTCCCAAATTGTACCTGTTTTTGGGGTTAGACTTGAAAAGAAAGTGCTAGCACAGTTTGTGTTGTGGATATGCTCCTTCCATAGTTTACTTGACATGGTTCAGACTGACCGATGCATTTTTTTCAGTGACAGTCTGTAGCAGTTGAAGCTGTGAAATGTGCTAGGGGCAAGCATTTTTGTTGTCGTATGTGGTGAATTCTCTTGATGTAACAACTTTATCTGACCAATAGTACACAACATCTTTGAACTGGTACTTGAAGCATACAGTATATGTTACCATGGCAAAAAAAGCAAACTAACCGTGACTCTGAGACAATTTTGATAGCTGTTTATTTTTAGTGACTTTTGTGGGTTGGTTCATTTTCCACCTAGATCAATGTTTTATGACCGACACGATTGCTACGATGAGATTTTTTTAAGAACATGAAAGCGTTTGCATTTTTTCCAGCAATTACAAAAGTCCCAAAGATTAATTTCCAACATAAGTTTTTGTTTTTAAATCTATGACTTGACTGGTATTAAAGCTGCTATTTGATAGTAAAATAAGTATGTTGTCATTGATATAAACATGTTTGGTTCAGCAAACAAACTAAAATGATTGTCATAGACAGTGTTTTATTTTTTTTTCCCGTTGGTGTTAATGATTTGTGAGCATGCTTTGGGATTAAAAAAAGCATGAATGATATTTCCTAAAAAGGTGCGGCATCCATTCAGATATTTTGTCTTGATTTTTGAGAACCAGCTTGGTGTAGTGGATTTTAAATTTTGTTCAGTTAATTTTTTTTTTTTTAAATGTTCGCACGTTGTTTAGGGGTGCCATTCCTACAGCAGAGGATCAAGGTGTTAGGAGAGCCTTAGAATTTACGAGGAAAAACTTACATACAATGTACTGTATCAAACTATTTTACATGAATGACACAAGTATTCTGAATAAAAAAAAAAAATCAAACATTGTTAAAACAAGGTGTTATGTAATAAATTTATTTTTCATAAATCTGCATATGACCTTTGCCTGTATTCCTTTTTATCAGCGACAACACCCCACTCCCCCATCGTACATCTGTGTTGGGTTGTGTCCTGAGAAACAGCGTCTGACAGGAATTTTTCTTGCAAGTGGCAGGCTTCCATTAACTGCTGAAAAGGATTTTTGTTTTTTTAAAGAGCAGAAAAAAAAAATACAGTGTCTTCATAAAATGTCGTTACCCCTGTTGCGTACATGTAGCTGATCAGCTGGAGATACAGTGAACGTAGGTTTATTACTAGTTACATTAGTTACATTTCATAGATGAGACAGCTCCTTTTCATCTACAAAATCTGGAGACATTCCTGTCTGAATAGTTCTTCTAAGGTTTCTGTAGCTCATTCTTATCTTGGTATCTAATACCACACCATGATTTTATGACAAAAATATATGCAATATATGCAGGATTTTTTTCTGCAAGTGCTTCATGTAGTGTGACTATCAACTAGTGTGATCCATTCGAATGCACTGAGCTGCTGACGGGAGGCAAAAGAAAAACCAAATCGGTAGCCAGCCTGAAATGCAAACCTTGTTTGAGGTGAAGATAAAATTATCTGAGTGGAGTAGAGGTTTAAGTATTCAGGAGACTCGAAACTACAGAAAAAAAATCTGAGTGCAAAGTTTATGCTGCTTTAGTAGTACTGTGTTATACCCTCTTCATTTTGACATAAGTGTTGTCAAAATCTTTCTTTCCTCGGTTTCTGGAACACAAATAAATATATAGGTGGGAGTGCCTTAAACTTCTTTGAGGTTTGTTTTTCAAGTGAAAGCCTTTTTTCATCCTTTCCTTAATTTATATATAGGCTTTGAACTTGCCTGTTTAGTATCTCCAGACTCTTCCCAGGTACTGAAATGGTGACAAGAGTAACTTTTCTTTGGCTAAAGTACTATTGGTCTAGATTTTTTTGCTTTCCTATTAATGCATATTCATATTAATGCATAATAGTTAATATTATTCATATTGATGCAAACCTTATTTTATACCAGTATATTGTGATGTCTCCAATGCTTGCTTTGAAAGTAGCAGGCTGGCTTTAATTTCATTTTTGCAAAGGGAAATGTATCCAACTGACAAAAAGGACTCCTGCCATTAGTTTGTGCTTGAATTTAATTTTCCCATTAAGAAGGTATTTGAGATGAAGATGCAGATTATCAACTAATTATAATAAAGCTAAATTATACTGTACATTTAGTTCTAAATAGTCTGCTACTCCATTTGCAGTAATTTCATTCATTCTACTCCATTTTTAGTAGACATATTGCAGATTACCTCAACAAACTGAGATCCTACAGGGAAGTAAAATCTTAGTATTTGACTTGTTCTGATGTCTGAGGCTGCTGGTCGTTTGGGAGAAGGAATTTGAGGCTTTCTCTAGAACTGCAGAAAGAAAAGGTTTTTCAATGCTTGGTATAACCTCCGATACCTTCAAGACGGGGTATATTTCTGTTGCAGATAAGGTTAATCTTGTCACATTCTTGGCAATTATAAATGATCTTCTGCATAAGCTTTTTAATACTGGTTTTAGGAACACTGAGAGCAAGGCTCTAAATTACCTTCCTGAACCGTTTAAAAAAAAAAAAAAAATTAATCCTGTCCCTGTTTTGCTCTGGGGGGCTTTGCTCTGTGAGGGTTACAGAAAGGAGAGGAAGAAGAAAGCACCTTTGAGAACATTTAATGGGAGAGTTGCAAATTCCCGTGAGGGAGATAGCAGCTCGGCACGCAGCAGCCGGTGTGTGAGCCGGGCCTCTCCTCGCTAGCTCAGCTTTTGTTACTAGATTCAAGAACTTAAAAGGTTTTCATTTCTCATCAATAATTATCTGGACCAATCTGAATGTATTTCTAATAGCTGAAGTCTGGGAGCCTGGCTTTGTTGCTCCGATTAAAGAACAAGTTGGTTTTCTAGAGTAGGCTTATGTTGAAAATGGGCTACAAGCTTAACTTGATCATGAGGATAAGTATGCTATTGCACTTTCACCTTGGCACTCCCAGCAAGCCTAGCTTGTGGCAGCTCTGAATTTATTGTACCTGGTGAGAACTAAGCTTCTTTAAGAAGAAATGAATAACTTTTGCAATGACACCTTTTAAAGAGGGTTTCAGCATTAGTGGTGGGGAGGAGCAGTCTGAAGAAGGAAATGAGACTGGTTCTGTCCTGTCTTTTCCTGTGTGTATATGTAAGTTAGGAAACACTCACTGAATTGCCCGTGGCAGTGCCCAGGCAATGCCCAGCTGAGGCTAGGCCAGTGTTAGTTCAGGTTTTCTTTGAGCTTCCTTTTTCCTTCCTTCTGAAGCCACTGCTGGGCAGAGTCTCTTCTGGGTCGATTCTGCTGTAGGTGGCAAACTCCTCAAGCAGCTAGGGTGGTAGGCCTGAGCAGGGGAGGAGTGAGCAAACGCACCTCTCCAAATTCCTTTTTACTTTTCTGTGTGCAATGCTTAATTTTTATGGGGTTTACGTTTCCATGCTTCGCCTTCTCAGGGGAGATACTTAATGCAGGTGGCAGGTACGTGCCATTGCCTATTCAAACAGTATCGTGGTCCTTGGCGTCTCATTTGTGCTAGATGGGCTCCTCCAAAAGAAAAGGGCAACTGCCTCCGTGTTTCTTTGCTGAGGGCCATCAGCAGCCCAAGTCCCAAGTGTCTCGTCAGCAACTGTGTCCATGGTAGCTTTGCACAAAGCTTCCTCCACAATGTGGAGCAGCACGTTTCTGTGAGTCTGATCATTAGGATGTTATTTTATAGGAAGCGGTGTCAACTCAACTTTCCTTTGCCATCTGAAACAAGAGGAAGACGGCAAAGCACGAGTGGAGTGTGAGTGAAGTGTGCAGGAGTTAACCATGCCATGTGAAATGGCCTTAAGCTCTGTCAAAAAGGACATTGGAAGCTGCTCCTATCATTTTGACCTTGTTGTGTGTCTCTTAGAATCATAGAATCATAGAATCGTTTAGGTTGGAAAAGACCTTTAAGATCATCCAGTCCAACCATTAACCCACACTACCAAGTCTACTCTAAGCCAATCAAGGGTAGACTAGACTAAACCATGTCCCGAAGTCTTGCCCGTTCAGACCCCAGCAGAGGTGGCGGTTAGTGAGAACAAGGGTTGGAGTCAGTTGCAAGTGAAGGTTTTATGTGAAGAAATGACTGGTGCTGTTCCCCGGTGTCCATCGATTTCTTTCTAAAATTGCTCTTCGAACAATAAGCAGCAATTTCATCCAAGCCCATCCTGACTTCACTAAAAGGCAAGCTGTGATCTCTGCCTTTCATATATGGTGGCTGTTGATGATTTTATGGGCATGGTTAGGCAGTCCAACTGCCGCTGAATGGGATAATGGAGGTGGGATGAAGCCTGCAGCATCTCATATTGGTTATTCTGTATCAGAAAGACCTAGATTATTTCTTGGAGCCAGTGGTGAAATTGCAGACCTGACACTTGGACTAAATGTTGTTGCCATTGTAAGTTGAGCCTATTTTCTGCAGAGGGACTGAGTAACGTGGTGCTCCTTACAAGCTATTTTAAGTTACACCCCTGAATAGAGCAGCCCTTTTTTGTTGGGTAGCGCAGCCGTCTCAGCATCTTCCTCTAGGCTGAGCGGTGACAGATGCCAGTTCTGAGACAGTTTAATAGCCAGCATCCCTTGAGACCAAGGTAGATGAGCTTGATTCAGTGTAATTTGCTTGTCACAGCTATGGATGAAGAACACTTTGTGAAATAATATGTCAGACATCCGAATGATGGGATGTACAAACTGTGCTCTAGCAGTAGGAGAAGTAGAGAAAAAGGTGTTTACCCTTTGAAAGCAAAACAGAAACAACGCTGCTTCTTCCACCAGCACTCTTGCGATAAGTTCCTCTCCTGGAGGATTTTAAGAAGCCTTTATCTTGGTGGTTGGCTTCAGCGCTGGCAGAAGGGAGCTATCTCCAGAGGACCGTCTTTAGTTAAAGGGATCCTGTGCTGTAGAGCTTGGCACTAGCACTGATGTTAATGAAGCTGTCGTCCTGGGGTGATGCACACCAGCTCCAACCCCGGATGGGAACCTGGACAAGCTCCATCACTGCTCTGAAAGCTCCCACGTCACAGGATACTGACATGCACTTTTCAGCCTGCCAGGATTAGGGTGTCTTTCCTTGGCCCTCACGCTGAGTTTAACTATCCCTTTGCATTTCTGGTCCTATTTAAGTGGGCTCGCCTGAGCCAGGGGAGATGGAGGAAGATTGCTTGTGATTTAAGCAGTGCAGCACATCTTGGCACATAACTCCATGCCCACAGAAACACCAAGGACAGCCTTTACAGCATGCGCTTTCGGGAAATGCTTCCATTTCCTCAGCCTGGGATGTGGGAAAGCTGCCGTGTGCTTGGAGCCAGCCTTTGTTTAGTATTTGTGGGAGCTTTGGATTTGTACGATGCTTCTCCCACAGTGTCTGAAGAGCTGCAGCCTCTCTGCTGCCCCATCAGCTACATAAGAAATGCAACCAGCTGACTGAGGAAGGGGGGGAGATGAAGTAGGGATTTGTCTAAGGAGGGCGCCTACAGGAGTGCTGAGATTAGAGTTGAAAAGCCCTGAGCAGATGCTTATGGAAGGCCCCGTTATGCCTTTCCCAAAGGCACTCTATGAGATGACAAAGAGGTATTGTCTTACCCTGTGAGGTGTAAATAGCACTCACGTCTTTAATGGGAGCTTGTTCCTTCTCCGAGTCACTGTGCCAAAACCTGACCATGTCCTACATTTGTGTTTCCAGTTTACGCAGGATCGCCTTTGGTATCTACTGGCTGGTCTTCCCACAAGACGCTGGCAGGGTGTGCATAGAGCTATTCTTATCGATCAACTCTTAAAATTATTTTGCTGTTTATAATGTTTCTCGAATATGCGGAGGGATGTGTAAGGCTTCCTACACCAGCCAAACTCTACCTTAGTGAGTTCTTCCCATTAACCGGGTAGGGAAGACAATAGAATAAATAGTTGGCATGCTTCACGTTTGCTTCAGC